AAAACAAGAGACCAGACATCTATTAAAATTCAAACCCAATAAAAGCCTAAGCTTCAACCTACTGCTGCTATGGCAGACGATAGACTTACATCACAAGCAAAGGTCGTTGAGGCAACACATGGGGTAGTGGCCCTGACTTCCAGCATAGAAAGACTTGGGCCTGCCAAGTCTGGAGCCCACAATCAACTCGAGAAAGGCGATGATGTTGGTGCTGCCATAAAGGCTTTCACGGACCCAGTTGGTCCACCATCGAAATGGAAACATGAATTGGAGCACGATTCCCAAGCCCACACAGTTGGACAGCATGCAAATCATGATGGTGGCAGCAGACTAGGCAAAGGCCTACTTAGCCCACCAACGAAAAACCACCAGGAACTAGTAATCTGGGCTCGCAGCTTTCATTATTGAATTTGATTTCGTACCAAGAACAATTCGATGATCCAAGTAAAATTAGCATTGCATTCACAACATCCACTAAACTAGATTCTGGTTGGATAATTGACTCCAGGGCTATAATTCATATGACATATGATGAATTCATGTTTCACCATTTAATTGTGCCACCCAAGGGAATGTTATCACAGCAAATGGTGAAATTGCTCCAGTTATAAGAGCGGTTTCCATCGCACTTACTCCCTCTCTATCTCTACATAACACTATTCTTGTTCCTTCATTATCGAATTATTTACTTTCTGTTGGTCAAGTTACGGAACAATTAGATTGTGTTGTACTCATATTTCCCACTTTTTGCCTACTACAGGATATCCAGACACGGACGATCATTGGGTGTGGTACTAAGAGGAGAGGGTTATATTATGTGGATGATGTGGTATCGGGCCGAGTCAACCAAGTGAGCAGTGGTCACAACAACAAGGTTAAGAGAATCTGGTTATGGCATCGTCGACTTAGACATACATCTTTTGGTTATTTACGAAAATTACTTCCGTCTTTATTTAATGGCGTTTCAGACTCTGATTTTCAGTGTCAGGATTGCATTCTTGCAAATAGTTATCGTACTTCTTACCACTTAAGTCTCAATAAAAGATCAATGCCCTTTGAGTTAATTCACTCCAATGTATAGGGTCCCTTACCAACAGCAACGCGCCACGGTATTCGGTGGTTTGTTACCTTTGTAGATGATTGAACCATAATGACTTGACTCTATACCATGAAACAGAAGAGTGACGTTAGGCAAATTTCCAATAGTTTTATTGGATGATTGGAAATCAATTTTCTCTTCCTATCAAAGTCCTAAGATCCGATAATGGGGGAGAATATTTTAATTCTGAACTATCACAATTTTTCACAGAGCACGACATACTTCATGAGACTACTTATCCTCAAACTCCTCAACAAAATGGTGTGGTAGAACGTAAGAACAGACATATCTTAGAAACTACACGGGCTCTTCTAATTGGGGCTCATGCTCCTTATGCCTATTGGGCGGATGCAGTTACGTATTCCGTTTATCTTCTTAATCGAATGCCCTCTCGAGTTCACAACTTCTGAACTCCCATAGAAGTCTTGACAGATTATGTCACTCCACCAACCTCTCTTCAATTATCACCTCGCATATTTGGATGTGTGGCTTATGTGCATCTTCACAAGAATGAAGTAAATTGGATCCGTGTGTTGTTCGTTGTGTATTTCTGGAATTTAATAGCCAACAAAAGGGATATTAATGTTACCATCCACCTACTAAGCATTTCTATGTCACCATGGATGTCACGTTTTCCGAAACCGAGATGTTTTTCATCTCTAATCAAACCCACGGTACTCTTCAGAGGGAGTTGAATAGTAAAGGCAAAGACTACAGTTGGCTTGATGTTCCACATGAATAAGACAGTTGGCATAGTCCTAGTAGCACAAGCGAGATCAAGACTGAAGACTTAAGTGTTATAAGCAATTCACCTGGTCGTGCCTTATCAGAGGGTCGCAACACAATAAGCCAAAGTCTAATGAATCTTGATCATGAAACCCCTGACCGAGAGATAACTCATGCAGCGTCGAATAGTAAGCCTACACCATTTATGGATTCAGTAGAAGGTAATGGGTCCACGAGTGATACTGAGACTGTGCAAACAGAAAATAACCCTCATTCTCCTCCACTAGTACACGCTCATGTCCCCGTGGATATCCAAGAGGTACGTTCGCATACTCCAGATATTGTTGAAAATTCCTATATCTTACCTCCTAAGCAAAATCGTGGGAAACCACCTGACAGGTTTTCTCCGGAAGGAAAAGTGAGATATGCAATTGCACAGTATATGTCCACTCATCGACTATCACCCAAGTACCAAGCCGTGGTGAATCAAATGGCTGGGATTAAAATTCCAACAAAAGTGGAAGAGGCCTTGCGAGATCCCTATTGGGTAGAAGCCATAGGAGTAGAAATGGAAGCCTTACAAAGAAACAGAACATGGAATGTAGTGTCACTACCACAACGGAAGAGACCAGTGGGATGTAAATGGGTGTTCACCATAAAGCACAAGGCGGATGGATCCATTGACAGGTACAAGGCAAGATTGGTAGCTAAAGGGTACACACAGACATTTGGAGTTGACTACCAAGAAACATTTGCTCCGATCACAAAAATGAATACTATTCGAGTCCTTTTATCTTTAGCAGCTAACCTAGACTGGCACTTGAAACAGTTCGATGTGAATGCTTTCTTACATGGAGATCTGGAAGAAGAAGTATAAATGGATCTTCCACCAGGATATGAAACACCGAATGAAGCAGGGAAAGTATGTAGACTTCGAAAGGCTCTCTACGGACTTAAACAATCACCTAGCATGGTTTGGAAGGTTCACTAAAGCAATGAAAAAGTACTGTTATAAACAGGGAAATGCAGACCATACCCTGTTCATCAAACACATGGAAGGTAAAGTTACTTTGTTAATTATCTATGTGGATGATATGGTATTTACTGGTGATGACACAGAAGAGATAAAAAGGTTGCAGAGGTATCTTTCATCAGAATTTGAGATGAAGGATCTAGAAGGCTTAAAATACTTCTTGGGCATTGAAGTTGCTCGTTCTTGTGATGGTATTTACTTGTCTCAACGGAAGTATGTTCTTGATCTTCTCTCTGAAGCTGGAATGTTGGCTTGTAAACCAGTTAAAACTCCCATTGTGCAGAATCATCACCTGGCGATATACTAGGATCAAGTTCTAACCAATAAAGAAAGATATCAGAGATTGGTAGGACGGTTGATTTACCTATCACTTACACGTCCGGATATTACGTATGCAATTAGCGTTGTAAGTCAGTTCATGCATGTTCCTAGTGAAGATCACATGGCAGCAATGATGCGTATACTGAGTTATCTGAAAGGTGTACCAAGTAGATGACTGATCTTCAGGAAGCATGGACATATGGAGGTAAAGAGGTATACTGATGCTGATTGGGCGGGAAACATTATTGATCGTCGCTCCACATCAGGTTACTTCACATTCGTAGCAGGAAATCTGGTAACTTGGAGAAGCAAGAAACAAAATGTAGTGGCTAGATCCACGGCCGAGGCAGAGTACAGAGGGATGGCACATGGAATTTTTGAATTGTTATGGCTCAGGATTCTTCTCACTAAGATTGGGTTCAAGCCCCAGGGAGCTATGTTATTATACCGCGACAATCAAGCTGCGAGAGAAATAGCCAATAATCTTGTTCAACATGATCGTACAAAGCATGTGGAGGTAGATAGACACTTCATCAAAGAGAATTTAGATTTCAAATTGATTGATATTCCATACGTGAGGTCTAAAGAACAATTAACAGATGAGTTAACTCATGCGGTTTTAGCAAGGGTGTTTCAAGACTCACTTGACAAATTGGGCTTAAGAGATATCTATACACCAACTTGAGGGGGAGTGTCAATGTGAGTCAACCATTTAATTTAGGAATGTAATCCTATAATTTATTCCTTGTATAATTGAGATTCTTATTTCCTGTTATGTGGGATATTGTACAACTATTTATTTACCTCCTAGAGAGAAGAATAAACATGCAATTCAAACCCTAAACACTTTTATATATAAATACCAGTTTTGAGGTGTTTATATATAAACTCATTAGTATTTGTGATAAAATGGTATATGCTCGTTATTCACAAAGCATTAATGCGTAGTTTATCCGAGAAGTGGATGATTGTCCAAATCGAGCCATGTCCATAAAACATCATTTTGGTTCTTATATCATCATAGGGTTGACATAAGATCCTTCGTGGAAAAATGATTGTTCAAGGTGCAAGTAATTCCATGTTTACTCATGGTTAAAATATTTTCTCAATAGAGTGATGAAAATATACTTGCATTTACCTTATATGGAATTGCAAGAACCCTAACCATGAACAAATCACAAAGTTCCATTTTATTTCTCACAGTTGTATTTGAACAACAGGCCTGTTTGTGATTTAGCCATTCCTCATCATGTGCCCCATTTGAAATTGCCTTACTTTTTGACAACTTATAGGTTTCATTTGAAGACAAACATGAATTGTATTTACGTCCACTATGATTCACAGCTCGTGAACAATAAGGAATCTATTTTCCGCCGTTACTCTGTGATCGTCCGTCTTTCTTGATTATGATACCGATGAAAGAGAAACCTAAGAGAGAGAGAGAGAAACAAAGTTACCGACTTTGATGTGGCAATTAAATTTATGTTTTTTGTCTTTTGTTTGGGGAACAATTGGAAATTAGGAAATTAAATCTTTCCTTATTGCATCTTGTCGTTTGTTCTCTTTTCAGCTGGGTTTCGTGTTTTCACCTGGAACCAATATTTGAAGTAAATTAACCTTTTCGTCGATGATCAGTTAGCGAGAAATATTATAAAACATATATTTCCTAGTTGTTCTTGGAAAGAAACTTAATTACTCTGTGTGTGTGTATATAAGCCATGCATTATCTCGGTGATCATAACATTAATTCAACGTCCATCCAGGAACAAACCAACGAACAAAAAGAAGACGATAACGACAGACAAAAAAAGTTCCAAAAAGATGAAGAGCGTAGCGATTCGACGGGTTTGGCAGCACAACGCAGCATTCGAGTTTCATCTGATTACAGCCTTGATTCGTCACTACACTTTCGTCTCTCTAGACACCGAATTTCCTGGGACAGTTTTCCAAATTCCTGCACAGACGCCTGCATCCAAATACCACCTCATGAGGGAAAACGTGAACGCCACCAAGATAATCCAATTAGGTCTAACGCTCTCCGACCGCCATGGAAACCTTCCGGACTTGGGCACTGACACCTGCTACATTTGGGAGTTCAACTTCAGGGACTTTGATATCGATCGCGACTGTCAAAACAAGGACTCAATCGAGTTACTTAAGAGGCAAGGAATCGATTTCTTGGAGAACAAGCAAAATGGTATTAGCGCTTCCTACTTCTCTTCTCTGTTGAGGAATTCCGGTCTGATCTCCAGGGAATCCAACTTGACATGGGTGACATTCCACAGTGCTTATGACTTCGGGTTCTTGATCAAGATTCTAAACGAGGTGTTGCCGCACGACATTACGAGTTTCATGTGGATGATGGATTTGTACTTTGGACAAAGAGTGTATGACATCAAATACATGATTAGGTTTTGCCAAGGGCTTCATGGAGGTCTCGAGAAAGTGGCGAATGCACTCAATGTCGATCGTGTGGCCGGAAAGAGTCACCAGGCTGGCTCCGATAGTCTGCTGACTTTGCAAACGTTTATGAAGCTCAAGGATGTGTATTTCAAAACTAGCTTATTGGAACAAAACTACAACTCAAACTTTTATTGCTGTCAAGGAGTTTTGTATGGCTTGGAAGTTGAGGATCGTTGATATAATTGCCGTGCCCTCATTGAGATTTTTTATTTTTTTTGGTTGTATGTTTTTTTTTAATTTTCAAACGTGTAATTACAATTTAGTCTATATAATTTATTTTTATTCTTCTATATGCTATCAAAGATTGATTTGTAACATTTTTTAATTAAGCATGCTTGGTGGGCTGGCTTGAATCTGGTTTCAGATATTCTGGATATGAATTAAAAATCTATATCCGATATGCGATACATTTTAATGCCACCAAATAATGCACATCATTCATATCCAGTTTAATTGTACTTATCCGATGATATGGAGGGTGGGGAGAGTAGATTTTTTCTTTCCTCTAGAGTGGATAAGGAGGGTGTGATTTTTGTACATTTTGTCGCTAATAACAGCTCTTTAAATTGGGTAGTTCGAAAGAGTTAATTAAACAAGAATTTAGGGACAAAAAATTGGTAGTGTGTAAATGGAGAAAAAAAAAGTTTACGCTTGGTTTTTTTTAGCATCATTTGAAAATGGGGATGACTGTAAAGAGTATTATACATAAGTTATGTCATTGTCATCCCCATCCCTGTTAAGTATTTTTTCCTCATCCTTGCCTTTATATACGAAAATTTCAGATCGGGGATTCTCCGGTTGGGAACGGCTTCCTCGCCCCGGCCCATTACAAAAAGTTATAAAAAAAATATTTTCTCGAATTGAAAATCTGGACTATATAGAAAAATTAAGGGAAAATTAATGAAAAAATACTTGAAAACTTTGAGTTTTAACGAAAATGACAAAATAAAGGGTAAAGTGAATTGGTCAATTCAGCAGCTTTTTGCTCAATCTCTCATGGAGTAAAATTCTTATCAGTACGAGTCAAGGGAATGGCTCATTGTCCTTTTATTTCCATATAAAGGACACGACGAGCATAAATACCCTCTTTAATTTCTATTCTGATGGACTGAATGTCTTTCATAAGGACTCAAAGGAATATGCAACGATTTTTTCCAGGAAATCCCCAACGAAAAATACACACTATGCCCTCTTTTATATCGAATCGATCATAACCACTACCTACATTCCACGAAATTGTGCACCACAAATAAGAGCTAATAAAAAGACCTGCGATCCCATAGAAAGACATCACGATACCTTGTGGAAAAAAAATGATTTGCTGAGAGGGAAATAAAGATATAAAATTCCTACCAAAATAACTGGACGTTCCAACCAATAAAAACCCTAATGAACCTAAAAAAAGAATAAAGGCCCAACAGAAATTACTTGTTTTTCGAGACCCCGCTATAAGTTCTACCCATATACGTTCTGATCGCCAACTCATACTCTAACTAGACCTAGTTGCATTTTATTGGAATTGGGAGAATAACAAAAAAAACAAAAAAAAAAAATTACTTTTTTATTTTTCCATAGTAACTCTCATCAACCAGCACTATTATGATGTGAACCCTTAAGGATAATTTATCAAATTTTTTAGATCCAAACTAAAATAATAATATCACTTTCATATGATTTCCTAATACACATAGATATATTGACTTTACATTTTAGAAATTCTCCTCGATCCCAATCTATTTGAAAATAGTTATAATTCATTCATCATGTTTACACATACTGTCACATCCCGGCCCGGGCTCCCACCACATCCCGGGCTCGACTCCACCGTAGCACGATATTGTCCGCGATTGTAAGATCCCACATCACCTAAGGGTGAGGATCTTGTAAGCCTTATATGTATATTCCTATCTCTACCTAGTACGAGGCATTTTGGGAGCTCAATGGCTTCGGGTTTCGTAGGAACTCCGAAGTTAAGCGAGTTCGCGCGAGAGCCACTGGGAAGTTCTCGTGTGAGTTCCCAGAAACAAAACCGTGAGGGCCGTGGCGCCCAAAGCGGTTTTGTTTCTGGGAACTCACACGAGAACTTCCCAGTGGGTCACCCATCATGGGATTTGCTCTCACGCGGACTTTCTTAATTTCGGAGTTTCTACGAAACCCGAAGCCAATGAGCTCCTAAAAGGCCTCGTAATAGGTAGAGATGAGAATATACATATAAGGCTTATAGGATCCTCACCACTGGGTGATGTGGGATCTTACAATTTATCCCCCTTAGGGGCTCGACGTCCTCATCGGCACACTTCTGGCCAGGGATTGGCTCTGATACCAAATTATAACATCTCGGCTCGGGCCCCGACCACATCCCGAGCTCGACTCCACCGTAGCACGATATTGTCCACTTTGGGCCCCGACCACGCCCTCACGATTTTGTTTCTGGAAACTCACATGAGAACTTCCCAGTGGGTCACCCATCCTGGGATTGCTCTCGCTCGAACTCGCTTAACTTTGGAGTTCCTACGAAATCCGAAGCCACTGAGCTCCTAAAAGGCCTCGTACTAGGTAGAGATGGGAATATACATATAAGGCTTACAGGATCCTCACCCCTAGGTGATGTAGGATCTTACACATACATAAGAGCTTATGCCCGAAGGAAGCCGCATATTATACCATATTTTACTAAATAGATATCCGTGTTATGATCCAAGTAAGTCTTGAAAAAAAAATATATATATATAAGATTTGTCCTTGTTGTATCTAAAAAATCTTGTTTTTTTGAACATAAAGAGATAAAGAAGCCATTGCAATTGCCGGAAATACTAAGCCCACTAAAGGCACAAAAATGGAGGGGAGACTGTTGAGAGTTATCATAGAATGGGTACCTCGATTTAATATTTGTACCTGTTATTTATTGTTATATTTATTGTTTTATATTTGAACCTTATATTGTTATAAAGATATCTTATAATTCATATATAATTGTTATATTATACTAAGTATACCTAACTGAGTATATATATACTTAATAGGGATAGGGAGTCTATAAGTATATGTTTTAAGAAATATATATATATTAATTAATAAAATACAATAAATATATAAATAAATGGACCTATTCATCTTTCTACATGTTTCTAATTCATCTTTCTACATGTTTCTACATGAAATATATATATACGATAATCCACCCTTTTTATATTCGTATTAGTAGTTATTATCTTTTCTTGTCTTATAAATTTCATAATTTAATAAAATTTTAAAGTATTTCCTAAAAACTCCCAAAGAATTCATTATAATACGATCCAACAAAAAGGATTCTTAGTGGGGGATTATTTTCGGGAGATATAGAAAGATGCAAGACCTTGTTAACTAATTCCACGGAAGAAAGCGAAAGAATTCACTCTTTTATTTTGAAAGAATTCACTCTTTTGTTTAATAGAGATTTCCTAGTTAGTATTAGTAACCAGGAATATCAATAAAAAAACGATCCGGATGGTTCTTTCTACAATTCAATCTTATGTTACCAAAGTCAAAATCCATTCTTCGGATTTTGACTTTGATTCCTATAAATTAAATAACTACTTGATCACCACACATAAAAAAATATATTAAGTTTTATTAAATTAATACTCTTATTAAATATTCAATTAAGACTCTAAGGCTCTAATCTAATTTTCATTCAAAGGAAAGAAAGCATGAAGCTATAGCGTCATCATTCGCTGGAATCGAAATATCTGCGAGATCCGGGTCACAATTTGTATCGATTAAACAAATCGTTGGAATTCCCAAAGTGATACATTCTCGAAGAGCCGTATATTCTTCTTGCTGATCAACGATTATTACAATATCGGGTAACCCCGTCATATATTTAATTCCGCCGAGATATGTTTGCAAGTGAAATAATTGTCTCTTCAACACAGCCGCATCCCTTTTCGGAAGACGGTTGAGTCTCCCCGTCTTTTGTTCTGTTCTCAAGTCCCTGAACTTATGAAGTCTCGTTTCTGTAGTATACCAATTCGTTAACATACCACCGAGCCATTTTTTATTAACATAATGACACCGAGCCTTTATTGCAGCCCGTGCTACTGAATCAGCTGCTTTATTTTTGGTACCAACAATTAAGAATTGTTTTCCCCTACTTGCTGCATCAAAAACTAAATCACAAGCTTCTGATAAAAACCGAGCAGTTCTAGTAAGATTTATAATATGAATGCCTTTACGCTTTGCAGAGATATAAGGTGCCATTCTAGGATTCCATTTCCGAGTACCATGACCAAAATGAACTCCTGCTTCCATCATCTCTTCCAAATTGATGTTCCAATATCTTCTTGTCATTTCTCCCCACACTTCTTTTCTTCTCTTTTTTTTTTTTTTCTTAAAAAAAAATGAGATGAAGTACCCTGAAAATAGAAATAAATAATTGTTCCCATGGAACCTTCTCTTCTAACGGAAATTGGCCGTTGATACAGATCCAAACCGTTCATTTCTTTCCATTCGTTAGTATCTTTATTACTATTACCAAATCAAATGACCGTAAAAGGATGAATTCTCTCTTTCGAATCATTAAATCCCATAAAGGATAAATTAACTCTTAGGAATCCTAAAAATGATTGTTCTGATGTATCATGTAAATTCTTTTAAATGCAAAAATCAAAAAATTCTCTGTGGTGGAACAAAATATCTCTCATTTCCCCCTCGAATAAATTCTTCTTTTTGGTTTCCAAAGGAATGTTGTTATGTTGCCTTGAACGGTGCACTAATCCTTTGAATCCGGTACCAACAGGTATCATCCCCCCTAGAACAACGTTCTCTTTCAAACCTTTCAACCAATCGATACGACCCCGGAGAGCGGCTTTTGCTAAAACTCGAGCAGTTTCTTGAAAACTCGCTTCGGATATGAAACTTTGAGTATTTAGAGATGCTTTCGTTATTCCTAATAATATGGCTCGGTAACAAATTGCTTCTTCCAAAGCGCGCCCCGTTCGTTCAGCTCGCAGCAATCCAATTAGTTCTCCGGGTGAAAAAACATTAGACATTCCATCTTCTGAAACCAACACTTTTGATGTTATTTGACGTACAATAATTTCTATATGTCTATTATGGATCTGCACCCCCTGGGATCTATAAACCTTTTGGATCTTATTAACCAAAGAGATACGACTTTGCACTATAGTTAGCTCAGCACCAATCATAAATCCCCAAGGAATTCCAAGAATTCTTGTTATACACTCGTTCCAACGCTCAACTCTTTTTTCTAGCTTCAATTATCAAAAAGTGCTTCATTCAAGTCCACAAAACACCATCTCCACCTCGCTTCGAACACAATAACCGAAAACATTCCCAAACCCGTTCCCTTCCCCGCTATTAATAGACCTACTACCCACAGGGGCCAAAATATGTGGTGAAAATGGCCTTTCCCATCTAAAGAACAATTCTAGAAATTGGTTCATAAAAATCAAAGAAATTGGTGCATCACTTTTTTATCATAGTTGAATGAATAAGAGAAATTTTATTCAGACCCATTTATAAAAAAATTTCGAATGTGTTCAACAATTCTCTTTCTACACCCAAAATAAAAAAACAAAAAAAAATATATATAAAGTTTAGCACTAGAAAATTCTACCCATCCTATCTCTCCATAGCCCAACCACCCCCAATTTCTACTCTTCCCCGACCCCACCTCCACCTCCTCTACCACCCATAATTAAAACCCTAAAGATCTCAGCCATCACTCACTTAACTTGTCGCAAGTGAAGAATGTTGAGGGACTTGAAACTAGTAGTGTGTCCACAACAATGTATACTTGGATTGTCAGAACTCATTAAGTTCTTCCATGCAAAATGCAAGAACTGCTTCAGCGTAGACCCTTACTTACGTTGGTATCGATACCTAATACCTTGCGGGCAAATGCATAATCATTGGAACCAAACTATCAGTGAAAAACTCCACCTAAAGTGTTTGAACTCTCTTTTCCAATGCAAACTAAATCCAGCTATGAACGCAAACTATTTTTGGGTTTTATTGGGATTAGTTGATTAATCCTTTTTCTTATCATATCGTGTTCAATGATCGATGACTATAATTTTGTATATTGCGAATTAGTTGTAATGTTTATTCTGTTTTAGGATTACCACACAATGGCGAAGCCATGAATTGTCGGGGGAAGGGGTGAAATTTAAAAGGGTAAAAGGTTCCAATAAAATGGGGACACCCATTTGAGGTCTAAGTCCAAGGTTTGCAAAAAAATTATGTAGACTACCCAAAATATTCAAAGAATGATTTGGACTAACTGAAATATTCAAACGAGGACTTGGGCTGCCCGAAAGATTTGAAGGAGGATTTAAGCATTGTTTCTTGTTGTAAAGTTCCATTACATAAGTATATAATAAGCAAAGTTCTAAAGGACGCTAAGCACTAGTTGGGCAGCAGACATGGCCTAACGCTTAGGCAAGGATTTTGGCGGCTAGACATTTAAATAAATTTATTATAATATTTTATGAATAAGAGTCTATTTATTATATAGTATATAGTATCTAAAAATATTGATTATAAAACATAATGTATAAAAATATTTGATATATTTTCTTTATTATTTTGTTGAATTTGATGGTAAGAAATAAAAATTGGAATGATTATGAGTTTGTAGTACTTTAAAAAATATTTTTTAAAGCTTGTGTGATTTTATAGTAAATTTTAAGATATATAACAGTTTCGAACACATGGGTTTAAAACCTTAGAAAAGTGAGCAAATTAACAATTAAAAATCAAAACACTCAAAATAATTCACCACACCTAACTAGCAAGCTAGGTGGTGCACATGCATTGGACAATAGTTATAAAAAAATAAAACAAATTGGGTGATTTGAAGGGGCACGTGGGGTAGGATGGGGGAGATAAAGTCTTTCTTCTTCCTCTCTCTTCTTCTTTGTTGGAACTGAACCAGAAGCACCATTTCAAAAGCTACAAAATGCAGCTTCCATTCCTCCTTTCTTTGGCCTGACTATTTTGAAAAAAAAAAAAAGCCTGTACGCAACCTGTGCTGTAAGCATGGACTCCTCATAGAATTGCAGGTTTTCCGACCGACCAGAGGGGCGGCAACATAGCAAATCAATACTTCTGGCCTTGTTTTTCGGTGAGAGGAGGGGCGGCCGCCCCTCTCTGCCTCTTAGTAGCTTTGCCATTGTTGCCACATGATTTGAAGTTTTGAACTTAACAATTTTCAACTTCCAATCCTACTTCTACTACAGCGTTAGATTCGAATGGTTAGCTACTTCAGAGAATTCGGACTGTTAGAAGGATTGCGTGAAAGATTGGAAGAGGCGTGGTGATGGTTGAGAATTTTAGGGTTTTCATTGTGGGTGGTAAGGAAGGTGGTGGCGGGGGAGGGTAGAAATTGAGGGTGGTGGGATTTCAAAACATGGGTGGCCAGAGGTTTCTAGTGCTGGAATTTTTATTTTTATTTTTCTTTTTCAATTTGGGTGTAAAGAGAGAATTATTGGGCATATTTGGAATTTTAAGAAAAATAATAATAAGTTAAGTGTATAAAGATGATAAATGAGTCTGAATAAAATTCTCCATTGAATAATCTCCAAAATGAATGAAACTTTATAGAATTGATCTTTTGGTTTGACTCTGAAGACATACGCTCTAGGACTGTATCCAACTGATGTATTAGTATTGGCCAAAAAAAAAAAATTGATGTATCTGGCAATTTCATTTCTGAATCATTACCTAAATAAAAATAAAGTGTCACATCCCGGCCCAAGCGGCACCACTTCCCGGGCCCAACTCCACTACCGTAGCACGATATTGTCCGCTTTGGGCTTACCATTCCCTCACGGTTTTGTTTTTGGGAACTCACGAGCAACTTCCCAGTGGGTCACCCATCATGGGATTGCTCTAGCCCCTTTCTGGCTTAACTTCGGAGTTCCTACGGAACCCGAAGCCAGTGAGCTCCCAAAAGGCCTCGTGCTAGGTAGGGATGAGAATATATATTTAAGGATCATTCCCCTAGACGATGTGGGATGTCACAATCCACCCCCCTTAGGGGCCCGACGTCCTCGTCGGCACACCACGACCAAGGTTAAGCTCTGATACCAAATTGTCACATCCCGGCCCGAGGCGGATCACTTCCCGGCCCCGACTCCACCACCGTAGTACGATATTGTCCGCTTTGGGCTTACCATTCCCTCACGGTTTTATTTTTGGGAACTCACGAGCAACTTCCCAGTGGGTCACCCATCATGGGATTGCTCTCGCGCGCTACTCGCTTAACTTCGGAGTTCCCATGGAACCCGAAACCAGTGAGCTCCCAAAAGGCCTCGTGCTAAGTAAGGATGGGAATATACATTTAATGATCACTCCCTTGGGCGATGTGGGATGTCACAATCCACCCCCCTTAGGAGCCCGACGTCCTCGTCGGCACACCACGGCCAGAGTTAGGCTCTGATACCAAATTGTCACATCCCGGCCCGAGCGGCACCACTTCCCGGACCCGACTCCACTACCGTAGCACGATATTGTCCGCTTTGGGCTTACCATTCCCTCACGGTTTTGTTTTTGGGAACTCACGAACAACTTCCCAGTGGGTCACCCATCATGGGATTGCTCTAGCCCTTTTCTCGCTTAACTTCGGAGTTCTTACGGAACCCGAAGCCAGTGAGCTCCCAAAAGGCCTCGTGCTAGGTAGGGATGAGAATATATATTTAAGGATCACTCCCCTAGACGATGTGGGATGTCACAATCCACCCCCCTTAGGAGCCCGACGTCCTCGTCGGCACACCACGACCAGGGTTAGGCTTTGATACCAAATTGTCACATCCCGGCCCGAGCGGCACCACTTCCCGGGCCCGACTCCACTACCGTAGCACGATATTGTGCGCTTTGGGCTTACCATTCCCTCACGGTTTTGTTTTTGGGAACTCACGAGCAACTTCCCAGTAGGTCACCTATCATGGGATTGCTCTAGCCCCCTACTCGCTTAACTTCGGAGTTCCTACGGAACTCGAAGCCAGTGAGCTCCCAAAAGGCCTCGTGTTAGGTAGAGATGGGATATCCATATAAGGATCACTCCCCTGGACGATGTGGGATGTCACATAAAGTCCCTAAATTATTTGTTTTAGAAAAAAAAAAAAAAAGTATCAATTTCCTTCATAATGTAAGATTCGAAGTTGCTCTATCCAAATTAGATTTCTATATTTTTTTTCTTAAAAATAAATCTTTAAATACATTAAACATGACAATTTCCTTCCCATTTTAAGAGTTGAATAACACACGAGTACTCCTAGAAGAACAACTTTGAATCTTTCAGTAGGGAAAGACATTGGTATTTTTTAATGAATTTATGTTGCCACTTAGTAATATACGGGTCATATACAACCTAGTGGTATTTCTTCTTAATTATAAATTACAAGTGAAATATCTTAAATTCGAAACAGGTAAATGCCAAGTTGATAATCAATTTATTCTTTATTTTTATTTTATTAATAAAAAGCAGTTGGTAACTTCATCGTAACAGTCCCCTTTTCCGAAAACCGCAAACACTCACACAAACATTCTAGTCTCCTCTAACTACCAGCGATATAAATCGAACTAAAAACATACTTTGTAGAATAAGGGACTGGAATTTATCCCTTCCACTGGGGCACTGGTCTGGTTAACCAATTTATTCCATTAAACCGTAGTACGTGCACGACTTAATTAACTCAGGACCGTTGCTTCCATTGCTGTCAACGCACGCATACTCGGCCTTGTTGCGAACAAAGAGAGTGTGGGTGGAGACAAATCAACTGAGAAATCAGAATCAAATAAACTCTCGTGGCTCGTGGGGTGGGGGTTAATCGGACTGACTGACAGTAGCAATGCCGGTGGCGGAAGGTGATGCTCCTCCTACTACACAAGAAGAGTACTTTGACGTCCTCACCAAAACCGGTCAGAAGACCGGCATTTCCAAGCCCAGGCAAGCTCCTAACCCTAACCCAAACCCAAACCAAGCATAATCAAGCAAAGATATTTTATTTTATTTATAGTGTTCATTATTTTCTTGTAATTTCTGGGAAACAAACAGAATATATTGTATAAAGAAAAGGAAATGATATGGGTTAAGCAAACTAAGTCAATCAATTACTATTATCAAGTAAATTAAGCAAATCAGTTGATTAGTTTTGATAAATTCAAACACTATTTTTCCCTTTTTTAAATATGTATGTATGTAAATGTTCTGTTTCTGATTTTTAAGAATTTTGTGCTGATAACCCATTAGTTCTGAATCCTTAGGTTCAACTGTGTATGTTGTGGTATAATGAATGTTATTCATGCCCATGTAGGGGAGATGTTCATCGAGACGGGGATTACCATCGAGCTGTTCATGTGTGGATTTTTGCTGAGAGTACACAAGAACTGCTTATCCAACGGCGTGCCGACTGCAAAGATTCATGGGCCGGATTGTGGGATATCTCAAAGTGCTGGACACATATCCGCTGGTGATTCGTCACTTATAACAGCTCGGTAGCTAGTTTCACTGCCCCTATTTTTAACAGATATATAGTTTGTACTTAGATCCATCGCACTTTATGAACTTTTGTTTGATAATATATTTGCATTTTAAAAGGCATGTACAGATGAGATAATAACCAATTTAGTTAAAATGTCATTTGAGCACCCCACCGCCCTCCGCCCACCGCCCTCCGCCCTCCACCAACCACCCCCACCACCCCCCCCCCCCACCCACCAAAAACAAGGTCTTCCCTTGTTTAATCAAGCGCCTTTAGGGGTTTATACAGAACTGCCAATTTCATAAAGTACCTATTTCTGAATTGAAATATTTTCTTCCTCATTTCAGCGAGTTACTGTGCCACCTCCACCTTTGTACGAGACAGTCATGCCTATTTATTGATTTTTCTTTTTGTTGTGACAACTTAGTGCATTCTGAACTGTGGTCGCTAAAACATAATAATGTTATGTTTCAGGAGGGAGCTTCAAGAAGAGCTGGGTATAGTACTTCCAAAGGATGCATTTGAAATGCTATTCGTTTTTCTTCAAGAGTGGTTAGTAGGTCAATTCCTTTATTCTGTGTTGGATATTTCTTTATCTAACATATTTTATTATAAACTAGTTTTTCTTGAAAATATTGCTAGCCATCTTCATTGTTATTGTAATCAAGAGTTAGTTCTGGAAGGTGAGGTGTTATACTTGTGAAGTTGTTGGAGTTGTGGAGGTCTTAAGCAGTTGAAGGTATCTCATATAGGATTCCAGTTTCATTCCATCCAGCATCAGTGAATATCTCTGTCCATAGGCCAACTGTTTTTTACGGGACAAAACAAGTGCATTGCATCCATGCAGGATAAAAATGGGCATTTAAAGATGGATGATTGGTGTGACTAGAAAGCAGATTTAAAAATCAATCTGTTTACAACAAAATGTAAACCGAGTGGCTAGATCCATGAAGCAGGCGTAGGTGGTATGGCATAAACAACATAGACCACTAGATGCATATATAAGTTTATAACTAAAGAAAGACATGTTAAAGTAAAAGGTATTAATAAAAGAAGGCGAACAAATTTGACAGGTTGTAGAAGTGTCGCAAAAGTATATGGAAATCAGATTAATAGAAGACATTGTATATTAATATGATCACTTACATTGCATTACATTTTGAATGCAGTGTGACAAATGATGGAAAATTCATTAACAATGAATTCAATGATGTATATTTGGTGACTACTGTGGATCCAATCCCTCTCGAAGCATTTACTCTTCAGGTGAGAAGGGGGATGCATATCAAGTTGCAATTCCAATCATTTGGGATTCTGCTTTTGCTTTTGTATTAAGTTACATTCATGTATTATCAATACATTGACTTCTCTGGGAAGATCTGTCAGTTATATTCTCTTTAAGGCAGGAAGTATGGCCATAAGAATTATTGACCATTCCTAGAAATAGTTCAAAGACTAGGGTTGAAAAGTAGTAAACTATGAAGATGATTTTGGTATTGGTTGCAATGTACATATGTATTCACAGAAATTTTCATGTGTATCTGAAGAACATATTGCTTTTCTGTTTAATGACAGGAAACTGAAGTCTCTGCTGTTAAATATATTTCTTATGAGGACTATAGAAGCTTACTTGCTAAAGACGACCCTAAGTACGTCCCTTGTGACGTAAATGGGCAATATGGTCAGCTCTTTGACATAATTGCACGGAGGTAAGCTGGCCAAGGAGCAAATTTACTTGTGATTAGTGAGTCCTTGATACATGTAGACTGGATTAGTTGCATCTCCAATAAATTTTCTTTCTTAAAACTTTTATTGTGTTTTTTATACTTTCAAAATTTGAAAGTCAAGATCTAACTTTTTCTTTGACAAAAAGGAGAATTTATATTAATTTTTTTCTTTTTATTGTTCCTCGCCAGCTTCATAAATGAATGTTCTTGTGCCGCCATGGCAACACAATTTTATTCTATGCTTTGGTTGGCAGGAAAAACCTTAATAGTAGATCAATATGTTTATAATTGTGAAGACAGAAAGACATATGCCATATATTCTTATCAGGTCAAATTTCTTGGATATTCACCACTTTCTTATACCTGTTATTTCATATTAAATTTGATAAAGGTACAAGGAGAACACCATAGATCGAAACTTATCACTACAAAAGCAACTCAAACGTTATGCTCCTGTTTCCCTCTGTGCGGAGGTTAGCGCCCTTTAATCAGTTCTTACATCTGTTATAATTTTAGTAAATTATTTCTTTAGTTTAATCTTTTTTCTTCTCAACTTATTTTGATTTAGACTATTCAGTCATGGTACAACGATTATAAGTTTTTGTCTGAAGTTGGAAAGGCTGAATGTTCATAAGTTTTTGCTTCATCCTAAGTTGCCTTCTTTAGTTTTAGTGATCGGGATTAATTTGCTTCGGCCAAAATCTGCTTTGGGCGTTTTTGTTGCACCGTGTATGGGTAATGTGACATGTGAATTCTATAGGTATTATTTGGTGTGCATATGGTAGAAAAGGTATGCAAGGGCTTTCAAAGGCATTGAGCTCTTTATGAACCTTGTGGTTGTTGTGTTTGTTAGCCCATCCAATATTCTGGGGATACAATTTAATGCTTCCTTGGTGAGCATTTCATAGGCTGAGTACCATTCTTTCCATTTTCTGTAACTTGTACAACCAGTACATGCAAACTATGCAAACCAAGTTCAAAGTTGATTAAAAGTGCAATAAGCTTTCTTGTCTGAAAGGTGAACACTGAACAATATTATTACATATTTTTAAGCAGATGGTGCAATTTGTTTTGTCATATTTCTATTTGAGCTTCATGTCTAGAATATAGGATATTAGACACTTTTGATGTTGAAGTTCCTCCTCCCTTTCCCATATTTTGTGGTTAGCAGGTGTCCTTCCTTTTTTCTTTTAGTTGGTTGGGTCCTTGAAGTTAAGTTCAGCATATTTTGTTTCATTGTTTCAGTTAACAGGTCTTACAGAGGCAGACAGGGAGGCTCTGGTGTTACTACTTATGGCTGCAGCAATTGTAGATCAAATCTTTTACCTTCAGGTTGTATAGGCTCATACAGAAATACATGCATTGTTAGATAATTATGCAACCATTCCGACCTATGTATTTGTGCTGTTAGGCTATTCTGAATCTCTGATGCATAATGATCGTTGATATGCATGAAAACCATGATCTGGTGATGCTGCTGCATGGTACATCTGACTATCAACAGCAGTGTGCATCTGCGTACTCATTTTGGAATATATTTTGCACAATAATTAGCTATTTTCATATGAAAGTAAAAATGCACTAAATGAGCCCGTTGGGAAGCTATACAAAAATATCTTCTAATTTCCATGTTTTGCAGCTAGTTTGTCATGCACCTTTTTTCTTTTCCTTCTTTTGTTTTTTTTCAATCCTTAATCAATCTTGCAGTGACCATCTCTGATTTTTTTCCATTCCATTTTTCTATTATTACATTTAGGTTTGGTACAGTAACCCAGTTCTAAGGGAATGGTTGAAGGAGCATGCGGATGCATCACAGTTGGACAAGTTGAAATGGATGTACTATGTAATTGATAAGAGTCCATGGTATGTATTTTTTTAACTCAGGGCTCTTTCAGCTGTATGCACATGACATTTTTACGTGCATATATACCATGTTGTGTGTGTCTTTGCGTGGGTATGCTCGTGTAATTTTGGAAGATTCTACTTGAGTAAACGTCCACAAATGGGCCTTTAGCTGTGGTAAAATTGATTCAGTGGCAATATTCTGCGTGGCATTTAAATTTTCTGGTTATGTGAAAAATTGGGTTGCTTTACTTTTGTTTTGTTCTGAATGTGGCTTTCCTGTTAAAACTAAATGTGGCATTTCCACTTTAGTGTGATGTGGTTCATCTTGTCTGGACCCAAGTTGTGCATCGAGTGTTGGTTGCTTGCTAGTTTTGTTTGTTTTGTACGGATAATCATCTTGTTCATCCTCTTTTTAATTTGCTTTTCCCTTTCTGTAAAATCTCTGTTTCCCTTAAATCAATGAAAATACAAATATTTTCATTTTCTATCAACAGGTCATCCCTTGATGAAAATGAGGCATTTTTGACAACTGCAGATTCGGCTATAAAGTTGCTTCCTGAAGCAACAAGACCGGTTACTGGGTGGAAGGGACTTGAATACAAAGTTGCATTTCCTGTGCTGAAACCTCCTGGTGCAAACTTCTATCCGCCCGACATGGACAAAGTGGTATATAACAGGAGCTCATTGTATTTTAGGAAAGATTTTTTTGCATTTGTGAAGACAAAAGAGTTTCTTTTGGTTTAGGAATTTGAATTGTGGAAGAAAAGTCTAACAGAGGACCAAAAACAAGCTGCAACAAGCTTTTTCACAGTTATTAAAAGACAGAGCGAATCAAGCCTGGATTCTTCCTTGTATGGAAGTACGGATGGAAGCACAAAACATTCAGTGACTTCCACTCACGATCTATATAGTGTTCCCTTCTCCCAAGAGTATAATGCTTTCCTCACACAAGCAGCTGACTTATTGCATAAAGCTGGTGACTTGGCCAGTTCCCCTAGGTATGAGATTGAAGACTTTCTTTTCTTAAGCTGTTTCATTACTGATTCTGAGGGTAAGGATTGTTTATGCAATTTCTAAGCTAATGTGTGTTTAAATACCGAGGTTTCAAGCTTTACAATGTAACAAATATAAATACGTCACACAAGAGTCTAGTAAAACTTCCTTGGTATTTTATGTGATATATGGCTTTTTTATGTCCCTTGATGTCAGCTATCCCTTAATATTTTTGTATGTGTGGCTTCTTTTATTACTAGTATCCAGCGGTATATCATAATGAAATACCAAGGGACAAATGCGCCTTGAAGGGATCTGTCATTTGTATATGTCGTTGTACCTCGTAAAGCACAGTTCTTTCTTCTTCTTTTTTTTTTTTTTTTTATCAGTGAAACCTCATTACTTAAACTCATTAACTCATCATCCAAAAGTTCTTAACGTTAAATTAGAGTGAGAGTGTAGTAATTACTGATGTTAGAAAAAATTACAACTACAAAAGTTGACAGTGGTTGTGCTAAATATTATCTTTGTACAAATGTTAACTTAATCTTTTGTTCTCTATGAAGTTTGAAGAGATTTTTTCACAGTAAGGCCGATGCTTTCCTTTCAAATGACTACTATGACTCGGATATAGCTTGGATGGAGTTGGTTAGTAGAGTATTTAATATACCATTTACAATCATGAATCTGCTCGGTATTTCAGTTATATGGTGTTGGTTCTTAGTTATTCATTCCTATAAACAATTATTTTCATCAGCTAGTTTATTAATGTCGAAGTTGCTATCAATCAGCTTAATTCTTTAACATAATATGGTCTTATTATTGGTTTTAGCTTACATAGGACCGTCATGTATTGATTTCAATGTAATTTAACTACAATATCTTGTTTTCTGAAGTTGCATTGCCTGGATGTAAGTGGTGTTACTTCATATGAAATGGAATTCCCTATTTTATAGCCTGTTGACAATTATTTTTTTTCAGCAATGACCACAATTTTCTTTTTTAATATAATGTAAACGGCAATATATTATGCAAAACCAGCTGTCCACTGGAGGTACTAACAGAAAATGTTGGCTCTATCCACTAGAAATACATTTCCACCCCACACTTGCATTCAAATGTTCAACCATTCTTTCCCACTTAAATGACCCAAAAAATTGCCAACAGACTACAACTTTACAGAACTGTAGCTTTTTCCCACCACCAAACTCAACCATGTTTCTCGCAACAACCTGTACCATAGTCTCAAGCAGATGAGACAGTGAAAGAATGGAAGCTTTCTTGTTTTCCTCTTGTTATTTGCTTATTGTCTGTAAATTCTTCAGAGCATAAACTGTTGAACCAGCCTTTGTTTTTATCTACTCTTCTGTTGTAGGACTCTAAGCTGGATGTTACTATTGGGCCATATGAAACATATGAAGATGCTCTTTTTGGATACAAGGTGTTTTTTATATGGACCACCCTTGTGTTTTGAGCTTCTGCATTTATCACTTTGTATTTTGAAATGTGATCAAATGGATATAATGCAAATACAATTGTATTGATTTAAATTTCTTCTGTTTCTTAAAGTTTTTATAATTTTCATTTTCTTGCATATGGAGTCATGGACATTTGTTTTCTAAAAGAACCTATTTGGGAATTTAAGTGATGTAGCATGGTACTAAATTTTCTGCCTTTAGATGTTATTGAACCAACTTTTATTTCAGGCTACTTTTGAAGCATTTATTGGAGTTCGAGATGACAAAGCAACTGCTCAAGTAAAACTTTTTGGTGACAATTTGCAGGTACTGTTGTGCAAACGTTTTCTACCAGAGATGCAATATCTTACCAAATAAATAAATGATCCTGACAACTTTGTTATTCCTTCTAATTATCCGTTACCTTATTTTTATAAGGTTTTGGAACAAAATCTGCCACTGGATAATGTCTACAAGTCTAGAGATGTGATATCTGCTCCTATTCGAGTCATCGATCTTATTTATAATGCAGGAGTAAGTTTTGGAACTCTGGAGAATCTTTCAAGATGTTCTATTTTATGGCAACATGCAATTTTTTCATCACAGGCACAATGACCGGGATTATAGTTTTCCCTGCTTCTAACCCTCTACTGTTGAAGAAAATAGTCAATGAAAAATAGTGTTTGGAGGGTAGAAAATGAAAATGTATAATTCTCATATTTAGGTTTCAGTTTGACATACCAATCACAAGTTAGTAGTGGATTGGGTTGACTAAAATAGTTTTCTTCTTAGTTATAAGGTCAGTCCATGGGGGTTAGAGTCTTCTTGACCTATGTTTAACAATATATTGCAAATTGATCCAGTTGATGAAGTGACATTGACAACTTCCAAGTTTTACCTTAGGATGTCAAGGGTCCTCAAACTGCTGCATTTAATCTACCAAATGACGAGCATATAGTAAAAGATCGAGGAACATCAATGGTCATGCTTAAGAATATCTCAGAGGCTAAGTAAAACTCTCCTTCCCTCAGATTAATATCCATTATTGCTTTTCCAAATTTTGATCCGTTCATAATGTCAGAACTACCTATGCTAAATCAGGTTCAAGCACATTCTTCAGCCTATAGCTGATGTTTGTATTACAAGGGAACAACAGGAACTTGTAGATTTTGAATCTTTCTTCACTCACACAATTTGCCATGAGTGCTGCCATGGGATTGGACCTCATGGCATAACACTTCCAGATGGTAGAAAGTCAACAGTGAGATTGGTCAGTGACATCAGTATAAGTTATCTAATTTACTTGTTCACTATATATTAGTTTGACAACCTTTGTGAATTGCATCGCTGCTAATAGTAAACTAAACAATTCTTCAAAATAAGGTTCAAGATATCTAGCAGAACAGAAAGTTTGATAAACTTTGATCGTCAATTTGATAGTAATTGTTGCTGGTCAATGAACATTGAAATTTGAGGTTGATTTCATAACTCTATCTTACTACAGATAGAACCTAAACATATTTGAGATTACTGCAACACTTTGTTGAAGTCCAGTTGATAACTAGAACAGGTATCTGGCTTTCAGCATCTTTGAAACTTTTTTCCTTGCAAAATCCTATTTGGTTGCCTAAATTTAGTTTGCTTAAAACATCTATATTTTACAGCCAGTCTTATTGAAGATTATATTCGAAGTTCTTGTGCTTCTTGGTATACCTTTAATGTCATTTTAAACAGTTTAAGAAAAAGCAATAAAAAAGAAGGAATTTTTTTAAGGTTAAGTGCATCAAGTGTGCACTGTTTTCTTAATGTCAAATCTGATTTTCCATGTGTCCCTTTCATCTCATAACAAAGGAATTGCAAGAACTCCACTTAGCTCTGGAAGAAGCAAAAGCTGATATAGTTGGCCTTTGGGCATTGAAGTTCCTAATCGACAAGGTGAGTGGCTATTTATTTGGTTTAGATTGCTTTCCTTCACTTTATCTCATTAGTGGGATAGTTTGGTTTACACTTTTTTTTTTGTTTACACATTTGCATCTTTCATTTGTTTTAATTATGTTATCATCGAGATGATGCTGGACCTCTTGTTGATCGATCGAGTATGTTTTACCTGTCTTTTAATAATTATTAATGAAATTTTGTTTCTTGTAAGTTGTGCTATTGACACTGGTATTCATATAATAGTGGCATAAAGCAGTGTTCTAGTGCTTATACTAAATGAAGTTCCATGTCTCTTTTCTTGCTGGTTCCAGGACTTACTCCCAAAGAGTTTATTGAAGTCTATGTATGTTTATTTTCTTGCTGGATGCTTCCGCTCAGTACGGTTTGGTCTTGAAGAAGCTCATGGGTAAGCTAGTAATAATCTTTCTCTAGTCCACTTTTTCGCTTGTCAGCGGGCATTGCTATAGTAACCATCCAGCATGTATGGCCTCCAAAGTATCTTAATACTTTATAATTGCAGAAAAGGACAAGCTTTGCAATTTAACTGGTTGTATGTGGAAGGAGCCTTTATTTTGAATCCTGATGAAACATTTTCTGTTGACTTTACCAAGGTATTACTTCTCAATTTCTAAATTTCCTCCTTTTGCCCCCAAGGTGACGCTTCAAGGCTATGTATATAACTACTCCTTTGTTTTGGTAAAAGGTTGAAGGTGCAGTTGAGACCCTGAGTCGGGCGATACTCACCATACAAGCAAAAGGTGACAAAGAGGCTGCAAATGTACTGCTTCAGAAACACGGCATACTGACAGACCCATTAAAAGTTGCTTTGCAAAAATTAGAGAAAATTCAGGTACAAAAATATATTTCGATAAAATTGATCAAATATGAAGAGTTCAGGCACTTGTATGCATATTATTAAGCTGATATTTGCAAATTGCGTGCATTAGACAGAAATCTCTAGAAGACATATTCCCAGTTTTCATTGATCAAGTTGACATTTCGTATTTATTAAGCTGCATTTTCACTTTGATAAAAATTCAGGGATTTGCATTATGTAGTTTGTTTTTGGCTCCCTACTTTTCTTTTTACTAGTAGGAAAATCCCGTATAATGGAAAATCTAAATTGAAATCTGTAATCCAAAAAGATGCCCTAAGATTCTGTGCATCATATGGCAACGTGTCGTGTAGTTACTAACGTGTTCGTATTTGCTTAGGTCCCTGTTGAGAATCAATGTCATTTGTAGGTGAAGTAAGTGTGTGAGGTTGGTGAAGTAAGTGGAGGTTGTAGGTGAAGTAGGTGGATGTTGTAGGTGAAGTAAGTGTGTGAGGTTGGTGAAGTAAGTGGAGGTTGTAGGTGAAGTAGGTGGATGTTGTAGGTGAAGTAAGTGTGTGGTGTAGCTTTCATTTGGTTTGCTATAAATACCCAAGTCCCCAAGCATTGTATATCATCCAAGGAAAAACAAAGCCTAGAGCTAAATAAGAAAAGCTTTGCTAATTAGTTTGTTTTGTGAGCTTTCTTTAAGAGTGTGCTCTATTTTCTTCTTCTTGGGATCATTAGAGTTATCTTGGATACTCTTCTTATTCAACAATTGGTATCAGAGCCAAGTCGGTCAGGGATCGTTCTTGGTAGAGCATTGGTTGTAAAGTCTCTTGAAATTCTAGTATGCTCTGTGGTTGCAGTTTTGACTGATCTTCCACATCAGAAAAGATTTCTTGAGATTATTGCTGGGGTTATCACAAACCTTGAGAGGGAGCTTCTTTGTGTCGAGAGTAGTGTATTACTCTGCACGGTAGTCACTCAAGCTTGTTCGGTGTAGTCAAAGTCTTGCCGATACGATGGGTGATCTTCAAGTTGTTGAAGGAATCAAGAAGCTCAACAACCAAAACTATAACACGTGGGCAACGTGTATAGAGTCTTACCTTCAAGGTCAAGACTTGTGGGAAGTTGTCGGTGGTAGTGAAGTTACACAACCGGCAGCGGAAGATGCTAACGGCGTCTTGCGGAAGTGGAAAATTAAAGCAGGCAAATCAATGTTTGCCTTAAAGACCACAATAGAAGAAGAAATGTTGGAGCACATTCGGGATGCTAAAACACCAAAGGAAGCATGAGACACTTTTGTTACACTCTTTTCGAAGAGGAACGATACAAAATTGCAACTTCTCGAGAATGAGCTGCTATCGATGGTACAACGCGACATGACGATTGCCCAATACTTTCACAAGGTGAAGTCGATATGCCGCGAAATTTCAGAATTAGATCCAACAGCTCCTATTGGGGAAACCAGGATGAAGAGAATAATTATCCATGGTTTGAGACCCGAATATCGAGGGTTCATTGCCGCTATACAAGGATGGCCGACACAACCATCGCTTGTTGAGTTTGAAAATTTGCTTGCAAGTCAAGAAGCTATGGCCAAGCAAATGGGAGGAGTCTCACTGAAGAGTGAAGAGGAAGCGCTCTACACCAACAAAAGCAAAGGCACCTTCAAGCGGTACACTGGTAGTGGATCTAAAAAGGGATGGAGAAAAGGTGCAAAGTCACCAAGAAAATGGAGGCTCTCGTCCAGGGGGAGCTTGGAAGAATCGCGGTAATAGTAAAAAGTTTAGTGGCTAGTGTTACAACTGCGGGAAGATGGGCCACATGGCGAAAGATTGTTGGACCAAGAAAGAGCCTGTTGAAAGTAATACTGCTACTTTCAGTTCGAAGGAGAATAGTGAAGATGGCTGGGATGCTGAAGCATTATTTGCTACGGAGGAAGAAGAAGAATTAGCCCTCACGGTAACAACACCAGAACGCATTGACTACAAAAATGATTGGATCGTAGATTCGGGCTGCTCAAATCATATGACGGGTGATAAACAGAAGCTGCAAAATCTATCTGAATACAAGGGAGGTCGTGTGGTGGTGACAGCCGACAACTCAAGGTTACCGATAGCTCACATCGGTAAGACAATAGTTAAGCCTCGACATAATTCTAACCAGGTGCCACTTCAAGATGTTTATCATGTCCCAGGAATGAAGAAAAATTTGCTATCTGTGGCTCAATTGACATCATCGGGCCACCATGTCTTGTTCGGTCCACGAGATGTGAAGGTGTATCGTGACCTCAAAATCTCAGAAACACCAACAATGGAGGGGCGACGATTGGAGTCAGTCTACGTAATGTCAGCAGAATGTGCATATGTAGACAAGACAAGGAAAAATGAGACATCAGATCTATGGCACATGCGGTTAGGTCACGTTAGCTATTCCAAGCTAAGTGTGATGGTGAAAAAGTCGATGCTTAAGGGGCTTCCTCAACTGGACGTGCGAACAGACACAGTATGTGCAGGATGCCAGTATGGTAAAGCACACCAATTTCCATATGAGGAATCGAAGTTTAAAGCAAAAGAACCATTAGAGTTAGTTCACTCTGATGTGTTCGGACCAGTTAAGCAACCGTCCGTTGGTGGTATGCGGTACATGGTAACATTCATTGATGACTTCTCAAGGTATGTGTGGGTCTTCTTTATGAAAGAAAAATCTGACACATTCTCAAAGTTTAAAGAGTTCAGAGAGTCAGCCGAAGGAGAAGTGGGAAAGAAGATCCGTTGCCTGCGCACAGATAACGGGGGAGAATATAGCTCAAGTGAGTTCTCTCAATACCTAAGGGAATGTCGAATACGTCATCAGTACACTTGTGCCAACACACCACAACAAAATGGTGTAGCTGAAAGAAAGAACCGGCATCTTGCAGAAGTCTGTCGAAGTATGCTACATGCAAAGAACGTACCGGGAAAGTTTTGGGCTGAAGCAATGAGGACTGCAGCCTTTGTGACCAACAGACTTCCTCAACCAAGGTTAGGATTTGTTTCTCCCTTTGAGAATCTGTGGAACATGAAACCTACAGTTAGCTATTTTCGAGTATTTGGTTGTGTATGTTATGTATTTGTTCCTGATCATTTACGGAGCAAATTTGACAAGAAAGCTGTTAGATGTATCTTTGTGGGATACGACAGCCAGAGAAAAGGGTGGAAATGTTGTGATCCAACAAGTGGAAGGTGCTACACTTCACGAGATGTGGTGTTTGATGAAGCGTCTTCTTGGTGGTCATCAGAGAAGGAGGTGCTACCAGACTCTAGAGAATTTGGAGAAAAGCTGCAACAGAAGATGGGGGAGCATACTATCCAACTCCAACCAAGTTCAGATGAATCAGGAGATCCAAATGACGATGATGTCAAACAGAGAGTGACTCAGAATCCTTGGCAAACTGGCATGTATCAACAACCAAACGAAGGTGGGCCGAGTGAAACGGAAGAATCAACTCCACAATCTCAACTCCGAAGGTCAACAAGAACACTAAGGCCAAATCCCAAATACGCCAATGCAGCCATAATTGAAGAAACAACTGCAACAGAACCTGAGACGTTCGAAGAAGCATCGCAGAGTTCTGAGTGGATGACAGCTATGAAAGAAGAGCTTGATGCACTTCAGCAAAATCAGACTTGGGATCTCGTGCCAAAGTCAAGAGATGTGAAACCCATATCCTGCAAGTGGGTTTACAAGATAAAGCGTCGTCCAGACAGGTCAAGACGAATGATCAAGTTGCGGACTTGTTCACAAAAAGTTTGAGTACAGGCAAGCTCGAAATTTTTCGCTGTTTACTCAGCACAGTGCAAAGAATGAGAGCTGACATTGAGGGGGAGTGTTGAGAATCAATGTCATTTGTAGGTGAAGTAAGTGTGTGAGGTTGGTGAAGTAAGTGGAGGTTGTAGGTGAAGTAGGTGGATGTTGTAGGTGAAGTAAGTGTGTGAGGTTGGTGAAGTAAGTGGAGGTTGTAGGTGAAGTAGGTGGATGTTGTAGGTGAAGTAAGTGTGTGGTGTAGCTTTCATTTGGTTTGCTATAAATACCCAAGTCCCCAAGCATTGTATATCATCCAAGGAAAAACAAAGCCTAGAGCTAAATAAGAAAAGCTTTGCTAATTAGTTTGTTTTGTGAGCTTTCTTTAAGAGTGTGCTCTATTTTCTTCTTCTTGGGATCATTAGAGTTATCTTGGATACTCTTCTTATTCAACAGTCCCCGTGGATATAGTTCCCACATTTCCGGTAGTTGATAAAATATTGGAGCAAAGACAATAAATTGGTGAGTCTCATTACCATCTTTCAAGGATGCTAGTAAATGATAACATAATTCCTGAGCTAATGACAGATAGCAATTTTTCATGTCTTGATACCATCTTATATAATCCTCTACCTATTGAATATTTCGAGGATCCAATCGCCTAATTTTTGTACTGTGAGTTTGCAGATCATGAGACAGACATGGCTTCGATGACTTTTTATGCCACTTGCAGTAATCTGGTTCAGCGGTGCGATAATTCTCATTGCTCTGCTCTGTTTATGAACTTCTCTGAGTTTGGGGACACATGGATGAAGATACACGGACATTACCTACACACTAACACGAGGGTGAGTGCAGATTATGGATGTAAGATGGTTAAATAGATGACAAGTCGTATATTGCCCCAGGTGGAAGATTGATTCCAGTCTCGTATGCATAAAGTCGAGTGACTCAAGCCATTTCCCTTGTCAGAAAATAAGCGTCCTAAGCTGGCATAAAACCGTGCAAGCATGACTGATCGTAGGATTATTCTTGCTTCTCAATATCATCCTACAAGTCTCGTCAAGGTACAGTGACTTATTGGGATATGCAGTGTTCGACTCTTGTTTGTGTTTGATTTTAATGAATTCAGACGATTGGATATGAAGGAAAATAATGAAAAAAGGAATGGGGAAAAATGAGAGGGTATTGGTCCTAGTTCATTTCCCTAAATGCGTCAAGTAAATGGGGTGGATTTTTGTTATTTCTGCTTTTTGTTTTTTCCGTCGTAAATTACAAATGAATACCTTGTAGTTGTAGATATAGAACTACGATATACATACATACATACATACATACATACATATATATATATATACACACATGTATCTATATATACGGGAGATTTTACGAACACCTGAAGATTATCTCAGGTGCCCCCCATCTTAATCTATTCGTGTAGATGAATAGTTAAAAATGCATGCTAAATTTTAAGTTTTTAGCCCTTTGCATTTGGAGATTGTCCAAGCTGGTAGGCACCACTCTTTGTAGCCAATAAAAGCAGTTTCAAGCTTCGTGTAGTCAATACGAGCATGCACTACCTCGTTGTAGCACATGAAGGCAGTATGCCATTTGCAAAATTAGTTATTTTGTGTTTGAGAGACAGTGGGTAGTGGTGCGTTTGAATTGGAGAGATTGGAGGCTTACTTGTAGTCACGTGAGAAGTAAATTGTGAACATAAATCTCACTAGGATTCTGAAAGAGCTTGAGAAAGCTTACTCACAACCGAAGTCTGAATTTGAGATGATGAATCTTGGGAAAACTTGTTCATGTCTTGGCATGTGGTTTGAGGATTTGTTAACCTGATGTGGTTGTAACAAGGCACCCACATCAGACTGGTCATACCCTTGACATGTGCATTTACTGCCACTTGTTCAACCAAAGCATTAACATTGCATTAACTCACATTTTTTCCTTAGACAAGAAGTTTGTCCCACTAGGTTTACTGTTCAGATATGCCTTGCACTCAATATTGAGAAGAAACCTTTCAGGATAATTCCAGAATGATTAGTTATGACTAATACAATAAACAAGCAACACTACTAATTAAGACTATCCTATTAATCTATGTACGTCCAAATAGTGGATCCATGGACAATGGATTAAAGAAAAAAGCAATCTAAAGACACAATTGGGACCTTTTTTCTATAACCCTATGTCCTAAAAGGTTTCTAGACATAGGATTGTCATAGAGACATTGATAGTCCGGATAGACTAGTACATACTATGTCTACTTTATAGAAAGAATGTCTTGTCTCAAACCATTCGTATAGGGATACTGAGGCAAGTGTGTAGGTGCTCATTAATAAAATGAGATCACTAAACATAATCAAACAAGAGTACTTGCATAGAATTCTACATACATGTCAAGCAACTTTACAAGTTGGAATGATGCAAGTATTCTTTTGACCTGAGACATCATAGTTGTCTTGGGGGTACGTTACTGATCAACTGACAATGAAACATAACCACATCGCAGCTTGGATGTGTTTTATGCATTGTTAGGATTAGACTTATTCTCATAGACATTTGAATATTCAACATGGAATAGCTAATCCTCAATATGAGAGGAAGAAACTCTAAGATATGATTCAAGAACTTTTGGCCAAAATATCAAGCGTAATAAAGGAAGATATTTCCATATGTCTCAATGGAATAAATTAGGATGATCACATTAGGGGGTTTGACATAAATGTAACATACCTTAATAATGTGATTGAAAGTATTCACTTAGGTCGCGTTTGGTACGCGGGATGGGACGGAACAGAGTGGGACGAAGCGTTCCGTCCCGCGTTTGGTGCGCCTAAAATGAGTGGAACGCGCTGTTCCACGGAACAGATTTTGGATGATTTTTTGTTCCACACCCCCACCCTGGAACGGGTTGTTCCACGTCTGTGGGACAGAAATTTCCAATATTTTTAGACAAAAATGCCCTTGGTCTTTTTCAAAATTTACAACTTCAAAATCAGTTTACAAACCCTAAAAACAAAATCTCTCTTCTCAGCCGTTTCTCTTCACCTCTGCATCCCTTTCCCCTTCGCAACACCTTCCTGCTCATCTTCTTCTGTGTAGCCTCGCAACCTTCCTCCGCGTCCCCTTCGCAACCTTCCTCCTCGTCCTCTTCCGTGTAGCAGCTCTGCGAACTTGGTGGTCCTCAGTTATCTCTCTCTCTCTCTCTCTCTCTCTCTCTCTCTCTCTCTCTCTCCTCTGTATTTTTGGGTAACTTGAATGTTTGAATTGATGATCATAAAATCAAGATTTGTTTGTCAGTTACAGTATTAATAAGTGCCTGATTTCATTTGTAAACTATTTCTGTTTACAATAAATATGGATTGGTAATTATTGGATTTATGGATTCGTAGTTTTTGATGAGAGGAGTTGTTGAGGTTGTGTGAAGGTTTGTTTTTCTGGGTTTTATGCTGCAGGGGGTTACAAACACAGAGAGGAGGAGAGGAAACATTAGTTTAGATTGTGATTTAATTTTTTTTTTTTTTATATGTTCTTGGTGATATAAACTGTGTGAGTGCAGTTGTTTTAAAATTATTTGCGTGTGGTTTTTTATAGTTTTGCTTTTTTCCAGTTTGGATTAAAATGGATTTTGAATTTTTGAGAAGAAATTAAAAGGATCGTTGGAATTTTGGAAGCCTCAAGCGAATGAAGTTTAACTATCCTACGATGGGCTATCTTACGAAGTCCTTCCCACTATCCAATCAAGATTCAGGGACGAATGATCACCGCATGTAGTTTACTTCATAATTTTATCAGAATGTATATGGCAGTTGATCCTGAAGAAAATGCAAGGCTTGCATTTGATGAATTACCTATAGGGGAAGATTTACCAGAAGTATTAGCCTACATTGAAACCGTTGAGTCAAGCCAAATATACACTCAATGGAGGGATGATCTTGCAAGAGAAATATATGATGAGTGGAGAGGAAGAAGGGCTTGAAAATTGGTTAACATGGTAGTTGTTGTAATTGTCTTTTAGATGGGGACTCAATTTAGTTGTTGTAATTGGCTTGAAAATTCGTAACATCAAGACTATTGAGATGTTTGTTATTGTAATATGGTAATTGGGAGTTATCTAGATGTTATGGCTTATTTGATATGTTTATTTGTGTTACTAAATTTTAATAAATTTTAAAATTAGGGTGTAGTCATTGTCATTTGATTTGGCTTATTTGATTTGGTAATTGATTAGTACAACTAATATAAATTTAGTCATTGTCATTTGATTTGGCTTATTTGATTTGGTAATTGATTAGTACAACTAATATAAATTTATTTGTGTTACTTGTGTAATATATGGCTTATTTGATAGATTATATGGCCACCTCACGTAATTGGATTGATCATGAGGAGGATGTACTACCTACCATCCTCGAGGATATGGTTGCTGATGGTGTTAGGTGTGAGACCGGCAATTTTAAGGCTGGTACTTTTGTAACAGTTGCCTCCAAGATGAGGGAACAGATTCCTGGCATTAATATAGAGCCGAAGCATATACAAAACAAATTGAAGCGTCTAAAAGAAAAGTATTCGTCTGCATATGACATGATGAATACATCTGGATTTGGTTGGGATGATGAGAAAAAATATGTTGTTGTGGATAGTGACGAAATACTACAGGAGTGGGTGAAGGTAAATTTTTTTTTTCTTATTCTTTATCAATTAGTTGTTTTGAAAGTCTTAACCTTGATTTCTTTGGGTTCTTATTGTAGAAACATCCCAATGCATCTTGCAAACCAAATAAGCCATTCCCGTTGTATCCACGGCTATGTACGGTGTTTAGGAGAGACCGAGCCACGGGTAGCATTGCTGAATCAGCGACAGATGCAATTGAAAATATGGGTTTGGAAAGTGAGGATTGTGAGACTTCTGAGATACCTCCGCTTTCACCTACCCCATCTCCTTCTGTTGCTACATCTAGTGCTTCTCAACCTGTTAGGAAGAGGAAGAGGAGCAGGAATGATGGTGATGCAAATATTGTATCTGTTATCAGTGAAGGTTGGAATAAAGCTGTTACTGAAATGAAGAAGTTAGGTGAAAGTTTTACTTTTAGAGAAGCAAAAGCTAGACTACCTTCTGAGCTTCAGGCCATGGGTCTCCCATACGATCAGGTGTTAAGAATTTCAATGAAGTTAGTGAAAGATACCGATCTGATGGGTATTTGGACCACCTTAGATGACTCACAGAAGCCAGATTTCATTAAAGTGTTTATGGAGAGCCTTTGAGGTTTTAGTATTTGTGGTTTTAGTATGGGGAACTTTATCAACTTCTAAGTGTTTTCATTATTACTTTAGCAAGACATTATTTGTTTTTTAAGTTAGGACGAATGTTTGATTTCGGATATTTCATGTTTAAGTTATGCATATTTCATTTTCTTTGTTTAAGTTCTAAATGTTTAAACCCTAAAATGTTTACGATATGCATGATCATTAAACTTATATATTTTTCAACATTTGTCATGTGCTCCTATTGGGAACAAATCATCCTTGATCTCGTCATTGCTAATTGGCTTTGTATAATCATTGTTCACCTTCTCTGATATTATTAGGATAACATAGTCAAGGATAGCCCCCCAATCTTGCCAACCCCCAGACATGAACAAGTTGATGAAATGCTCTTCCACTATCTACCATGTAACATTCGCCTCCTCTATCCATACCCCTTGAATGTTTTGCAATTTTTCAACTGTATTAAATCATCTATTCTATATGGTGGTCTAGTGAAAGAACTTTGAGTTAGAATCCCAACCTGCATCCATTTGATTCGAGACCTAGTTAAAACTTCTTTTCTCTTTCTTTCAATTTGTTAATACACTCTATCAAGACCTTAATCTGCTCACCATGTTCCTCGCAATTATCATGGAGGCAACCCAAATAATGCATTAGATGATCAATTTCCTCCCTTCCTCTGTTAAATTTTCTTCTACTCCATTTCATCAAATTTTCACTAGAAGAGTTTAATTCTCGTTGCCATTTCTCCAACCATCCACACCTACTTTGAATACTCCAGCTCTCTTCAACAATTTATTATGATTTTATGTAAATTATTTATTTCCTTAGTGATAGGATTGTAACATCTTATAAATCCATCCTTACAACAACAACCCACAATTGAAAGGACCAAAATTAGGGACTAAAAATTGAATTGGGGTGTGGGTTTTGCAATTTGCACAATAAAATTTGATGGGTTTGTGGTGAAAATTCGAATGGAGGTGTAGAAAACGGGAAAAATTACAAATTTTAAAGGGGTTTGCATGTGAAACACAACATATACCTATTAAAATTTGGACCAAGAAAAACAAATAATGGATAATAGTGTTCAAATTTGAACAACTTATTAAAATTAAAAAAAAAAAAAAAAAAAAAAAAAAAAAAAAGAGTCATGTCCCATTCCGCCCATAAAATTATACCAAACAACAGCGGAACATGGGTATTTTAGTCATTTTAATCTTTTGTTCCGTTCCGTCCATGTGCTACCAAACGCAGGACGGAACAACCGTCTTGTTCCGTCCTGCGCGTACCAAACATAACACATAACATCTGTTCCGTCCCGTCCCGTCCCGTCCCGTCTGCGTACCAAACACTACCTTAGAGAAGGATGATGGAATGGCACATGGGTTGACATAAAAGTAACCATACATAATAGGTTCTCCGACCAATTCTACATTATCTTGGGTAGCCATGACACATTGTTAGATGTCACTCATGGCTTGCGAGTCTCTCTTGATAATTAATTATGTAGTTGTCAATGTACGGAAGAATGAAAAGTAAGTTTTAATTCACCAAGTGATTGTATAAATACTAATCAAGTGTACTAACAGCAATCACCTCACTGCCTTGCTAATTAGAACCTAAGACGGTTGTACATTGATACACTTGTGTAATGAGATGGCTAAAGGATGATGAAATTAATTAATTAGACTAATTAAGTGATATAATTAATCAAAAAGTCTAAATTAACCATAGAAGCGATCAACTTCGTTGTTGAACTTAAAAGTAGTTCAAGTTCTTTTAGCCTATTGATTCATTACCCCAACAAAGGAGAAAAAACCCTACTTCTCTTTACAAACAAACAGCCGGCCAACTAAGGGAGAGGACTACTCTCCTGGGTTATTTCCATCATCTATCTCACTTGATTTTCTCAAGGTGGAGCTTAAGAAGATATCCATTTCTTTCAAGGTGGAGGAAGCTAAGAAGAGACACTCCAAGGAGCAAAGAAGTTGGTGGAACTCTTGGATAGGATTAAAGTCTAGATCCAATGGTATGAGATCCAAATCCTTCTCTTTGCTTTAATACAACTATTTGTCACACCAAACTAAATCTATGCTTCTTTAAGGGGATTTGCATGACTATAACTCGTCAAACAGGAGAAATTTTAAGATCCAACACCCTGACCATGTGTACCGCAGGGTCAAGGCCAAAAACATCACACACCAATCCCACCCTCCCTAATTTTAAGGCACACACTTACGCCACTCTGGTCCCACGCTCTCTAATCAGACCTGGTCCCACTCCAATTTCAAATCACCCTCCCAACTTAAACGAATTAGTATAAATCATCCTAGTATTAGCATTGAAAAAGATTATAAATTTTTTGTTAAAATAACATTGTTATGCGATGACATAGAAATCTCTTCGTGCTTAAATTTTTCAGGATGAGCATCGAAGTTGGCACATTGCTAAGCCGTGTTTCTTGTATAGAAAAGGCCCATTTTAAGCATGCACAAGACTCAGCGAAAAACAGAATGCGCCCACCCCTTGCACCCTAATTCGAATCTTCCTCGACCTAGTTTACAATATTACCTTGTCAAAATGAAGTAAAACTGACAAAAACACAATTCAATTTTATTTCTGCACCTAGTTCACCTAGACAACTTTCAAATCTTTGAGCCATGCCGTATGGAGCGGACAGGGATCCGGCTTTCCTTCGGCAATTGCCTTTTCGGTTAGAGAATAAAACCAACCATTTCTCCATTTAAACTGCAAGCAAAACGCAATCACCAGAGTGAAAAAACAAATTAAACCCGTTCGAGTCACATGCGTATATGATATATACATACATACATATATATATATATATATATATGGCTTGCATGCATCTCTCACCTCTTTAACTGCAGTCGGAAAGTGTGCAACCGCGCGTGAGTATGCACATAATCTGTCCTCCATGGCTTCTTCAAATACCAACCCCTTCTCTGCAGCAGCTGCAGAGGCAAGCTCCACAATGAGACTAGACACCTGAAAGCATAAATATCGGTCAAGTTTTTATTGGTTCCTTTTCTTAACACATAACCAATGTGATGAGCCAACCCTTTCCTCCCTAACTCCGAAAATAGTATGGACTCTATACTGCACTAACCTAAAAGTGGTTTCGTGTCATGATACTTCTTTGTCAATGAAATGAGAGATGTCCATTCTTATGCAAGTATTTGGACAGTTACAGTTCAACCTAATAATCTGGTTACAGCCTTGGCCATGATAATTATTATGCGTTTGGCTTGATGTAAGCCAAGCAAAACCAGACAGCACCACACCCCCAATAGAATTTACTTTTAGTAACCTTTCAGCATTCTGTAACAAACCCATGTTAATGGAACAAAACCTCGGTGTTATTTTTACTAGAAAGTCATGCTTCCCAGGAATAAAAAAATAAATAAAAACTAGGAAGTCATGAATAATGATGAAGGAAAAATACATACAAAAGAAAGTAACCTTAGAATTGCTATTGTTGCAAATCAACGATAAGAAACCAGTTTATAAAGAAGTAAAACACAAGGAATTGTTGCTCCATCATTAAGTTCAGACAACTTATGAGATTCCAATCATATGATATAATTTAGTCCCTCTTTTCATCGTCCATTGATTGTAGTTCAGTTCGCTAGCTATTATGCCATACGTAGTAGAATTACAATAGCCAAAAGGTAACAAATACTAGGTAAAGTAAATTTGTACATGGCATTTCCAAATCTGCAACCTAATCATGAAGTAGAAATTGTTTTGGACAAAGATCCTATTTCACCATCAATATGCCAAGGGCAGAATTACATTTATTTTCTAGTCTTTTCAACTTTAAAAGAAAAGAAAAAAGTAAAAAAGATTACCTCAGAGCGGTATTCTTTCTCTACACCACCTACAGTTGTTCCTGGATGACGAGCTCCGACAAGCATGAATGCTGAAATCCAGATCAACTTCTCTAACATCTGCTTCTGAAATGCTTCCTTGTTGAGAACCTGCTTTATATTTTCATTCATCAGTAAAAGACTAACGCAACAGAAAAACCAATTCCAAATTAGTGTAAAATGCTACGCAGATATTATTCTTTTACCTTGCAAGTGAGGCCTCCAGCATGTAATCTATCGGCTACTGCCGATGCCCATTTCCCATATGACACAGTCAGTCCTTCAGGATTGGTATCAGTCTTTCCATCAACAGGAGGTTCTCCAAGCTTGGAGACAGCAAAATATGCTAGGACTTGGTCAGCATCACCAAGGCCTTTACTTTCAAACCATGGTTCCAGCATTCCATTCTGGAAAAAAACCAAATCTGCTGGATTGTCAAGACCATTGGGTCAAGCAAACCAAGAAGCAAAAATCCAAAACAAATTTTGCAAATTAGGTGAAGTAAAAAAATCCAGTTAAAGCCATTCACAGAAGAATGCAATCTGACATGTCCCCCTTTCTCCGCCAATTTTGGCAAGCAACAAAACTTGAAAACAAGGAGAGGGGGAGCATGTTATATAGGTTTGATTGACATGTAATTTAACTGAAAGTGAATGTTTAGAAAATTGCATTACAAATAATGAAGTTTCATATCAGCCTGAATTATAAACTGCCAAGCTAACAGTGGTGCTATTGCTGCACAAGGGAGTGCAGCAAACAAATGGTAGGAATATTTGGTCACAAACTCCTAACTTTTTCAGATATCTTATAATCAGTAGTGAGTAAATTCAACAAATCTTCGAAAACACATGAACAATTTCATGAAAGAATAGAAGTCACAAGCCGAATTTTGGTCAATGAAAACTCCAACTTCATATTTACAAGAGACATAGCAGTCGAACAAAGAATTCAGTCATCTAATTTGGATCCAATAATTAACAGTATGAAGGTCCTCTTTTAAGATTCATCACTCAGCATATTGAGTTTGTACTAAGAAACTCCATTAAGCACTCTATTACATGAACATGAACCGATAGTTCAAAAGTATTGGGTTTGAATGTAATCACAAGTGAAAAGCCCCATCCAATCAATTCCCAACTTACTTCCACTTCCAGTAACCAAACAATTCATATACATATAATACAGCAACAACAACAAAGCCTTATCCCACTAAGTGAGGTCGGCTGTATGAATCCTAGAACGCCATTGCGCTCAGTTTTGTAACAGTCTTCCATAATTCATATACATATAATATTAACAAAAAAGTTGATTGATAACACCTGAATTTCATATAAAAAAAACCATCAACAAATCAATTGAAACTGCTCAGACAATAACTGGAATAAAGAGTGAAGAGAAAGTAGTACCGTTCCATCTAGGCCTTGGAGTGGCTTCAAGAACAGCTTCAAGATCGTCATTCCTAGTGCAAACCAAAATTGGACCTTGGAAATCAAGAGGCACGGGCTCTCCTCTTTTCACCAGCAAGTCACCGCCATTCCCCATCCCCTCCAAGGCCCTTCCGACCCTTCCACCGCCCACTATCACTGCAGGTACCACCTTGGTTTTGGCGGCGGAGGCCGTAGCCATGGCTGTGGAGGCCTTGGCTCTGATTCTTAAGCTGAGTGTTGAAGTCAGTGAAGTGGGTTTTCTAGTGAGGTGGCAAAGAGTGGAGCTAGAGAGTGCGACGGCGCTGCTGGCCATGGGTTACACAGAAGAGTAGTAGTCAGGGAGGACATGATGGTGGTTTGGATTTTTGAAGTGGGTTTGGTGTGGGAGTGAGGAAGTGAAAGAGATGAGCCACTCGTTTTCGGCGATTGCCAATCCTTCTATCCAAATGAAAATTACTAGAGTTCGTTTTCCAGCAGCCGTTGAATTATATTATCTTAGCCCAATCTCATCCGTTGATTTAGTTTATTTATTTAACAGAGTTTATACATCTAATTAAGTCATTCTTTCCAATCAAATAAGATTTCATCTCTCATTAAGCGTTAGATCAAGCCACTTGGTACTACAGTACGGTCTAATGGTATTCCTCTTTACTTGTAAGTAAAAGATCTTTGATAGGAGCATATTCATGCGACTTAAATGGCTTGTTCTCGTACATTTACGTTATGTTTCTTTAGTTATTTTAGTCATTTATGCTTCTTTTGTGTGTTTTCAGGTTCTAAGGGCAAAGTTTGCAAAATGGTGCATTTTGGTGCATTTTGGAGTCGTTTGGGGCGTTAAATGGATTGCATATACTTGAAGCCAAGTAGATGGACGAAATTGAAGACCAAAGGAGGCCCTTTGTACCAGAAATTCACACCAACACATCCCATTTCAGATTGCATTCCAATCATTCCAGCCAAGCCACATGCACTCCCTTTAATTTATTCAACCTAGCTGTCAAAGCACATGCACATTCACCCTAATCATTCACATACACAATCTGCCATCATTCACACATTCATTCCACATGCATTCCCTTCATATAAATCAGCCACATGCACCCATAATCATTCAACCAACTTTGCACATGCATTCATCATCATAACCTAGCTATCATTCCACTTTAATCCACATGCATTCCCTTCACAAATCAGCCACATGCATCTCCCATCACCATTCCAGATTTCCACCAAGTTCCTAGCTGTCATATTCCCTCCTTTTCACCTATAAATAAACATCTATTGCAGCCACACTGGATTCATTCCCATTCATACACATTTCAGTCACAAACACCAACCATTCCCTTGTGCCGTGCTCTCTCCCTAATCATCCAAACACCACACCAGAAATCATCCCATTGCCGTGGCCTCCTCCTTCCATTTTCACCACTCCTCAAACCATTCACACCATCAAACTATCCTTAGACCTTGTGCTACAACGAAGAGGAAGATAAGAGGGCCTAAACGTTCATACAATTCAAGTTTGAGTTGTTGGAATGTTTAGGTGTTTCTTTGATTTCAATGTTTAATTTCAATACCCTTTGTTTTGTACGAATGAGGAATGGAAGAGAAGAGGGCCTAAACGTTCATACAATTCAAGTTTGAGTTGTTGGAATGTTTAGGTGTTTCTTTGATTCTCTTTGTTTTGTATCATGAGGAACTAAACCCCCCCTGGTTAGGGGGGATTCGAAATATATGTTTATGCTTGCATTTTGATTTGATTACTTCTAATTGCGTTTCATAAGTTGTGGATTCAATTTGTTTAACTGTTTGATTGATAACTTATTTATGTATGTTTATTGAGAGTACACGCTTAATTTTCATGCATGAATATGACGCTAGAATATAAGTGAGTTTCACCTAATAGTTACGAACTTATATTCACAAGTAGTGGAGGTTGCTTATAAACAATCGCGTTAAACGAATTCTTGGCATAAGTTTCATGCAATCATAGTAACGAATGCCTCGTCAACACTTATAATTTTCATAGAGCGTAATGATTTTTGCTTGTATCTCTATTATGCAATCATGTAAGGGACTTGTGGGGAATGTTTTGGGTTGTCATATGCAATCATCCAATTCAATAACGTTAGGAAAATTTGAAGGTTAATTAGTGCATCACGGTTAACTTGGGGTGTTGAGAATTCATGGTTTATTGAAATGCAATTGGAAATCTTTTTATTATGCAAGTGTAACATGTGTGGAGATAAACCCCTTAGCTAGTCATCCCATCCATTCAAATCCATCACATTCATATTTACATTCTGTTTTTAATTAGAATCTGTGCAATTAGTTTAATTTCGTCCAAAACTCAATCCCCCCTTACTTTAATGTCCAAATTAGTTAGAAATCAATTTAGTTTTTGTTTTTAAGAGTCTTGAGTCAAGTTACAACTTAATTTCGTCCAAATTTGGGTTTAAGGTCAGAAACTGCCTAGTTAGTGTTTTTAGGCAGTTTTGAGTCTTTTGAACTTGTTTTGAGTCCTTTGAGTCTTTGTATTGTTCAAATTAGTTAGAAAGTGTTTTGGTTTGTGTTTATAAGTGTTTTGATTCAATTTGTTACCCAAATTCGTCCAAAGTACTCAAAGTGCTCAAAACTGCCCAGAAAATGTTTTTAAGGCAGTTTTGAGTGTTTTGGTGCTGTTTTGAGTCTTTTGGTTTGTTTTAGTGTTTTAAAGTTTAGTTTTGCATTCTTTGAGTCTAGTAGAGTGTTTTATATTGTGTTTTTACGTTTTTGAGTCAAATCCAAGTGATTAACAATCCCTCCTAATCCCCGGTCCAGAACGATCCCTACTTACATATCTATACTACAATTGTCAAAAAGAGGGTTTAATTTGTGTGCGTATAATTCTCGCATCAATCTTAAGTTCAATTCATTATTGTTAGCTCATCACGAGGCTAAGCACCCTCCCTTTTAGTAGGTTAGATAATATTGTTTGTTAAAAAAAAACCGTTGGTTTATTTATCGAAATGAGTTTATTTATCAATTAAGTCATTCTCTCCATTCAAATAAGATAAAATTTCATCTTCCAATGACCATTAGATCAAATCTTCTCATCTCAATCGAATACATTAGATCATTATCTATTTGTCACTCACTCTCAGTAAATTATAATTCATCAACCATTTAATAATCACACTTATTTCATAATAATAAGCTTCTAATCACTATATTCTAAAAAAAAAAAACTCTCAACCACTAAACCGTAATGGCCCAACCATGAAATAATAACTCCTCATGCGAAGTTGATAAAGTAGTTTTTGCAATGGCATGGGTCATGTGTCAGCACTTCTAAAGATGCTTAAGGCTTTGCCCAAGAAGCAAATGAGCCGCAACACGTTGCCACCTCATCACGTCGAAGAAGAGTAAATCGAGATCAGGAAGAGAGCCATGTTCAGCTTATGTAATTACTTGTCTGGCTCTCCATTGTATTCACCACGCTTCTTTTAGGCCAGCTTCTACATGAGACATGAGCTGTTTGACAAGATCGTGGAAGGAGTCATCACTTCTATGATTATTTCACTCAAAAACGTAATGCAATCGGGAAACTTGGATTCTCAAAATATGCAGAGATAACAGCAGTCAGCAACTTTCGAGTATGCTTGCATACGAAACCCTCACTGCTTCCATTGACTAGTATATAAAGGTTTCAGAGAGAACATCTTGAGAGTCTTGCAGGAGATTCTGTCATCCGATCAATGCCGTCTTCGGACCAAAATATCTTTGTAAACCCACTAAGAATGATTTACAGAGACTTTTGAGAAAATCTAAGGAACGAGGGTTTCTTGGCATATGCTTTGGAGTCTTGATTGCATGCAATGGGATTGGAACAAATGTCCAAGGGCATGCCATGGTGCTTAAACTAGCTACAAGGGGTGTCCCATCATTTTTCCTGAAGCTGTTGTATCATATGATACATGGATATGGGATTATCTTTTTTGGATCTCCCGATTTGTGTAATAATCTTAATATACGCTATACATCACCTCTTTTTAATGATGTTTATGAGGGATGTACTCCACGTGTTCGTGAAAGAAAAGACTAGAGATTTTAGGCACAAGATTTCCAATTTCACCAGGTAGTATAAATAACAATGGAAGCATGTATATGCCATTAGTCAAGTTAAATCCCCTTTAAGATTGCATAGTCTAGTGCTAATATCTCTAGTTGTGGTGTTTAAAACAAAGATAAAGGTTTGAGGAATTATACCTTTGGATCTAGCTTGTACACCCACCAAAATCCTCTCCCAAGTTTGCACCTTCCTAGTAGGATCTTCCGCATTTTCTTCTTCCAAGTCACTCAAGGAGAAGGCCTCCAATTTCTCCACACCTCTAGGAATGAGATCAAGGATGTATGAACTTAGAGGAGAAGGGACTAGTGTCCTCCTCAACTAGGCAGCTGACCCTATTAGTTTTTTTTTTTTTTTTTTTTTTTTTTTTTTAACAAACGGTATTACACTAAGAGGGAGATGAAAGACTTAGCCTCACAATGAGCTAACAATATTGTGGTTCAAATTCACCTTTGATGAGAATCAAACCTAAGAACCACTAAAAGCCTAAAATGTGAAAGGCTAATTCTTGTCTAATTCTTGTCTTTATAGAGAGACGGAGCGACTCATGTAAGAGGCTCTCTCTCTCCTCATCACCTCTAGAATTGGCCATGTATAGAAAGTGGTGTTTTGATATAGACGCCTCATTTTTAAATGTCATAGACTAAACATCTATTCTTTTAGAAATTTTGATTAAACATTTTCCCTACAATTTTGGTGCTTAATTTCATTTCATTTTATTTTCTTAAAAGTCTATTCATGTTATTTCTTTACTAGCATTCTTTTTTTTTTTACTCCTATTTTTATGCATCTCTTATTATAATGATTTCAGATTTATTTTTTATTTTTTATTAAAATATTTATTTTAGTAAATTAAATAGAATGTACAAAACCTTGTTTTTTAGGTACTTTTGGTTGATCGGTACATTTGATTATGTAGGCGTTGGTTACTTATAAGATGATTACATTTAGTTTATGGTATATTTGAACTTTTGGTACATTTAGCTTCTTGGTACATTTGGTTTCTTAGTACATTTGAATTTTTGGTACATTTAGTTTTTGGTACATTTGAATTTTTGGTCTATTTGATTTATGGTACATTTTTTTATTTTCGGTACGTTTGTTTTCAACCCATAAGTTTTATTAATTTTTTTTTTTTACTAATAATGAGGAATTAGTTTAATTAATATTTTTTTAGAAAGATTCATTAAAAATGTAGGAGTTTAATTACTTATTTTAACTCTAATTAATTATTATTTTTATAGAAAGAGTCATTAAAACATAGGAGTTTAAAGGACTAGGAAAATTAAATTTCCTAGATTGTCGGCAATTAGTTACAAGGTGAAGTG